TACATTAGAGATAAACCCTGATATGAGCAACAAACAAGCAAAAAATACAGAAAATGTTCAGTCCCAATGTGCACCAGAGGGGGGATTCCCTGACAAAGTTTTAACTGTTCAGTCAGGTTTATCTTGTATGGTCCTTTCTAATGCACTCTGTTTGGTAACCAGTTTCTTCCATCCTTCTACCTCCTATTATGGGTAGAGGGAGATCACTGGCAGCTTATTTCCTGTGTAGCTCTCACAAATGTATCTTGGGCTCCCACTGTCACCCATAGCCTCTGCAAGCAAGGTTCTCACAATTTAGGCTCTGATACTGGATTCCCTCCTTTGACTTGGATTATATGATTTACAATCCTTTCGTCACTGATGTTGGTGTGCTTCTTCCATGGGAACTTAATTGACGTCTCACTTAGATGGCTGCTTCTATGGAAACAAGCTTTTAAGACCCCAGATGCTATTTTATCTGATAGCCAGGCAACCATCTACTTTTTCACCACACTTTGCTATAGCACCCATAACTTCTGTGTTCCCTTCCTCAGGGTGAGTCTTGAGTGGGACCATGATATAAGAACTAATTGTTTTTAAATTAGAGCTCAGATTTAGTGGGAGCCCCAAACACATTCCTGGATCTTTTTTATTTTTTTTAAAATCTGCCTTTAGAGACCTGCTTGTTCATTTATGGTAGAGAATCTTATCAATCATCTCCCTGTGGCATAAAGATCTCCTGTTAATATTGTCAATGATTAGCCCTTGGTACTAATTTTTTAAAACACTGTTGAGAGAGGGATATTGGACCAATGTAGGCTAACATCATATTACAATACCTGAGTTATTCACTTGTACAGAATAAATCCTTTCATGGCTGGATGGTAGTTATACAAACAGTGGGAGTTAGTTCTCAGGGAAATTTTACAATACTATTTACTGAGAATATCAGTTGCAAGTTTGCCAGAATAATATGTATTTTAAGGGCAGCATATAGGGCATTGATGTGATAGATCAATGATTGTCTGCCTACTAACAGTTCAGTAATCTTGGTATAGTTGTATAGCATGGTGCTTCTTCAGACACCATGAATGTTCAGTTTTAAATCCTCAGCTTACAACTGTGTTTGTTTACTATGATTTTGTTATGGATTGCATTGTGTCCCCCCAAATAAATACTTGTCTTATAAATCTCCATGCCTGTGGTGGTAACTCCATTTGGAAATGGGTTGTTTTTGTTATGGTGATGAGGCAGGGTTAGAACAGGGCATATTCTGAGTCAATCTGTTTTGAGATATAAAAAGATTAAACAAGGGGGACCCAGCAGAGGTGGGGGACGGGAGATGCCAAGCTACATGGAGACTCCCCAGGAGCAGAAGCTCATGGAGCTAAAACCCTTTCTTCTAGAGCCCACAAAGAAAGCTTTCCCCTAGAGCCAGCACAGTGAATTTCAACTTCTTGCCACAGAAACGGCAAGAAAATAAATGTCAGTTGCTTGAAGCCACCTCTTGCAGTATTTCTGGTAGAGCAAAGCTAAGTAAGACAATAACTGTTTCCCTTATGCTGAGCAGTGCACACTCAGCTGGAAACGGGACGCCCTCTGTAAATCTGTCCTCCTCCCTGGGCACCTGCCTGTGCTCTGTGTCCTCCAGCTGCCTTGCCCTCTCTGGACTCATCTCCTCCATCCTGGGAGCTGTTGGCCTTTCCCTCCACGTGCTGCTGCCTGCACACTCCCCCTAGGCCAGCGGTTCTCAACCTTCCTAATGCCACGACCCTTTCATACAGTTCCTCATGTGGTGGTGACCCCCAACCATAACATTATTTTCATTATACTTCATCACTGTCATTTTGCTACTGTCATGAATCGGGCCACCCCTGTGAAAGGGGTCCTGACGCACCGGCTGAGAACCACTACTCTACGTGGTAACCTAGGCAGTCACAGAGCCCACCTTTCTGCTCTATCTGTGCCACCGATGCTGGCAAACGGCTGCTTCATAGATTTCATCCCGTTTCTTTGCTGCTTTGTGGTGGAGCATAAATCTGGTTCCTTTTGCTCCATCTGGTCCAGACAAATCATTATCAGCCACCCTTTTTATTTATTTATTTATTTTATAGGAACACAAGCACTTTCTAAGCCTGAGCATATTTATTATTCTCTGGTCCTTTTCTCCACAGGATGTAGTGTGGTCATTGCATCTCGTAAATTTGATAGATTAAAGGCCGCTTCAGAAGAACTGAAGGCCAGCTTGCCTCCCGACCAGCAAGCTCAGATCACGCCTATCCAGTGCAACATCCGCAAAGAGGAAGAGGTAATGCAGACACACCTGTACCATTGCTTCTTTCTTGTCAGTGCACCGGAGGGCCCCCAACCTGACGGCACTGAGGTCTAGAGGGAGGCTCACTGGAAGGCGAGCCTGTGAAGGAGATGCACGACCAAGTGATGCATGTAACTGAATAGCCCCCAAAGAAGGGGCCACATAGGGAAGTTAAGCCAGGATGGGTTCCCCGAGATACTATCTTTTTAATTCTTGCTGCATATATTTTTAAGTTTCTATAGTTTATTAAGGATCCCCGGTGGCATAGTGGTTACTCACTGGGCTGCTCACCAAAATGTCAGCAGTTTGAAACCACCGGACACTCCTAGGGAGAAAGATGGGACTTTCTACTCCTGTAAAGAGTTAGTCTAAAAAAAAAAAAAGAGTTACATCTCCCAAACTCACAGGGACAGTTCTACTTTGTCTTACAGGGTTGCTATGAGTTAGCATCTACTTTTTGGCAGTGTTTTTTTTTTTAAATAGTTTATTAATTCTCTGGCAAAATGCCTCATAATCATTTCAGGTAAACTTGTGGCTGAATCTGTCCTCATTCCTTTTTTGCTGGCACCAAGCTCGGCCTTGGCAATCCCTCCACCTCTCCTCATTCCATGGCTGCATTTCTTGGACTCGTTGGCTGAGGTCATAGTCTTTTCATATAAACTAAGTCTTGCAAGTCGGTGTATGCGTTTGTTTGTCTCTGCATCATCCAAGTCACTGCAAATCATGCCAAAGCCACTAAGATGACATCTGGTGTGCCCTGGTACCTTTTGTCCATTTTCTGTTTCAGGGCTGCCATGGGCAAAGGACCTCTGTGATCATTTGTTTTTGCTGAATACGTTTGGTCATGAACTTCCAGTCCAACCACTTCCTGTGCCATTCGCAATGGTGGTTACTCCTTCACCAGCCTGGGTGGGAAACACACACACACACACACACACACACACACACACACACACACACACAGAGTTTAATTGCCATCCAGTTAATTCCAACCCATATCAACCTCTGTGTACATAGCAGAGCTACTCTGTAGGGTTAGCCAGACTGTCTCCCAAAGTACATCTGGGTGGACTTGAACCTCGAGCCTTTCCATGAATAGTCTTAATTGTTTGTGCCAATTAAGCCCTAACTGCATGCTCATTTTCATCTTATTTCATCAAGAGACTTTCGGCATGGCTGTTGTGGTGGTTGTTCAGGGCCATCGAGTCGAGTCGGTTGCATCCGATAGCGACCCGTATGCACAACAGAGCACAGCCCCGCCCGGTCCAGCGCCAGCCTCACCATTGTTCCGATGTCTGAGCCCAGGTGGCAGCCACTGTGTCCATCCGTCTCCTTGAGGGCCTTTTCTCCTTCACTGCCCTTCGACATGATCAAGCATGTTGTCTTTCTCCAGGAACATGTCTAAAGTATGTGAGAGGGAGTCACCCTATCCTTGCCTCAGGCCATACTTCTTCCAAGACGGATTATGTCTTTGTAGCTGTCCATGGTGCTTTCCATAGTCTTCTCCAGCATCGCAGTTCAAACCTATCAATTCTGTGGTTTTCTTTATTCACTGTCCAACTTTCACATGCATATGAGGCTGGGCTTGAAGCTCAAAAGTTAATATGACCGTTGCTTGCCTCACTAGGTGAGTACATGCCCTTGGGGTGATCTACAGCAACCAATCAGCGCAAGCAAGAGGGTACATGATTGATCAGTTTTTATTTTGCCTGCTTTCCTCTAGGTGAATAATTTGGTGAAATCCACTTTAGATCTTTATGGTAAGATCAATTTCTTGGTAAACAACGGAGGAGGCCAGTTCCTGTCTCCTGCTGAACACATCAGTGCAAAGGGATGGCATGCTGTGATTGAAACCAACCTGACAGGCACCTTCTACATGTGCAAAGCAGGCAAGTGTGACCGACTGCCTGGAAAACAAAGCTGTCTTCTTTGGAGATCTCAGAGCACCCTCAAAGAGGGACCCAGAATCTTTCAGGCATTAACATTTATCACCCTGATTTTCTCACGCCTATAGGATCGTAAAAGAGGAGCCGGTTGTGAAGTGGTTATGCATTGGTTTGATCACGGCAAGGTCCGCAGTTCAAACCCACCAGCTGTTGCTCAGGAGGAAGACGAGGCCTTCCACTCCTGTTATGCAGTCTCAGAAACTCGCAGGGGCAGGTCTTCCCTCTCCGCTAGGGTGGCTGGGAGTCAGAATTGACTTGGTGGCAGTGAGGATTTTTGTGGGGTTTTTTTTTGGGGGGGGGTTGGTATCACATTATAAATTAGGATATTGACTTAGTATTATTTGTAAAATATAGGTATCTTTGATTTTATCACCTTATTTTTAGGGATTTATCATGAGAAAATGATTAAGGATCTGTACAAAGATCTAACTAAAAAGTTGTTCATAAAATTAGAGCAAATGTTCGCATTTACTCTGCTTTTAAGAAGTGAATCTGTTATTGCATTGTAAAGACCAACTTATTAACCATTGAGAGAGGTCCTCTGTGAGAACAGTCTCCTCAGAGAATGAGTCCCCATGATTTCTAACAATTTTTATTTCGCTTGGGTAGCTTTTGGATGGTAGATTATGTTTACTAGGCTGTAATATTAAATTCTTGATGTTGGATTTTAAGGATTCCCTTATATATCATATAAGACATTTTTAAGGTGACAAAATATAGAACTACTTTATAATTCTGTCCCTAAGGTTCTAACCCTAACACAAACATGGGTGTTTGGTTAGGCTGGACAGTCTTAGTATATTTTAAGTCAAACCCTAAAAACCCACTGCTGTTGATTCAGATCCATCGTAGCTCTAGAGAGCAGAGTCGAACTTTCTCCAGAAAGTTTCTAAGACTGGAAGTCTCTATGGAAGCTACCTGTCCCATCTTCACCACTGAGAGTGCCAAGTAGGCTTGAACTGCCGACCTTCTGGTTAGCAGCAGAGCACTTTAATGACTGTCACTTTTGAGTTAAAGATCTTACAAAGAAATCTTCACTTTCATCTTTATATGTCATATAACATTCCAGATTTTTTTAAAAAGTTCCGGATTAGTTGTGTACATGGTTGGCTGTTGTTGCTAGGTACCATTGAATCGGCTCCTACCCGTAACGACCCAGTGCACAACTGAACGAGACACTGGTTGGTTACTCCATTGACAAAAATAGTGACAATAATCATAAGAGGTGCTTCAGTAAGATAGAACTTTGTTTCTCCCTCACATTAGAAGTCCTGGGAGGTCACCCAGAGATAAGGTACTTAATTACAACAAACAGATAACAGATGGGTGCTGTTGAGTCCAGTCTCACCCATGGGCGAGGCAGTCCATCTGGAGATCATCAAACCTTTCTTCCGAGTGTCTCTAGGTCAGCCGTTCTCAACCTGTGGGTCGTGACCCTTTGGGGGTTGAAAGACCCTTTCACAGGGGTCGCCCGATTCATCACAGTAGCAAAATGACAGTGATGAAGTAGTAACATGTTATGGTTGGGGGTCACCACCACATGAGGAACTGCATGACTGGGTCGCGGCATGAGGAAGGTGGAGAACCACTGCTCTAGGTGGAGTCAAACCGCCCCCCTTTCAGTTAGCACCCATGAGTTTAATCACTTGCACCGCCCAAGGATGTCCATTGAGGGATAGGATCGCATTTCCAGCATCTTTTTGCAGTCTTAGCATGTGGAAGGCATGAACCTCACAAACATGCTAAGTGAAAGAAGCTAGACAAAGAAGGCCCCATGTTGTCTGGTCCCGTGGAAGACCTGGCCAGAAAAGTGAGGAGTGTTCGCTGGAGGCTGGGGTGCGGAGAAAGGTCAGGTGGGTACTTGTGGGGGCGGGTGGAAGGGCTCTGAAACTGGGTTGTGCTGAGGGTTGCACAACTTTGCGTATTTGTGAAAATGTAATGAAACTACACTCAAAATGGTTGAATGTTCTCATGTATGATTTAGAGCAATGTTGAAGGCCATCTGCACCCTAGTCTTGAAATGGTTAAGATTTCTCATAACCTATGTGCTATTGTCCTCTGTGGTTTGGCATTTGGACAGGCCATTTAGAACAAGGACAAGGAAGTACGCAAGTCCAGGAGCAAGATGTGAAATGTTCTTTTTTAGGGAACCGATTACATGGAACTGTGTGTGACCTCCTCCCTGGGGGACAGACAACCGAAAAGTGGGTGAAGAGAGACGTCGGACAGGGCAAGATATGACAAAATACCCATTTATAAACTATCAAGGGCTCATGAGGGAGGGGGGAGCGGGGAGGGAGGGGGAAAATGAGGACCTAATGTCGGGGGTTTAAGTGGAGAGAAAATGTTTTGAGAAACGATGTACAAATGCGCTTTACATAATTGATGTGTGTATGGATTGCGATAACAGTTGTATGAGCCCCAAATAAAATGTTAAAAAAAAACAAAAACAAAAAACAAAAAAAGACATATATACTCATGTAACTCAGCAAAAAAAAAAAAGAAATGTTCTGATGCTGCCTTCCACCTGATCCCTTCGACACCTCGTGGTTGCATAGGCTGGTGTGCTTCTTCCATGTGGGCTTTGTTGCTTCTGAGCTAGATGGCCGCTTGTTTACCTTCAAGCTTTTAAGACCCCAGACGCTATATCTTTTGATAGCCGGGCACCATCAGCTTTCTTCACCACATTTGCTTATTCTCCCACTTTGTCTTCAGCGGTTGTGTCGGGAAGGTGAGCATCATAGAATGCCAATTTAATAGAAGAAAGTGTTCTTGCGTTGAGGGAGTACTTGAGTGGAGGCCCAATGTCCTTCTGCTACCTTAATACTAAACCTATAAATGTAGGCTCATAGATCTATTTCCCCATCCTCATATAAATATATTTACATATGTACATGTCTTTATCAAGAACTCCATAAATGCCCTTTGCCTCCCAGTTCTTTCCTCTATTTCACTTGATTCTCCTCCTGTCCCACTATCATGCTCAGTCCCCACCAGGATTTCAGCACTTCCTCTTTGTTACGTTCCCCTTGATCCTGCCCTACCAGGTCTCCCACACCCACCTCCCCACCAATTTGGATTGCTTGTTGTTCCCTTGTCCCTGGGTTTGTTAACACCTCTTCCCTATGTGAGATGTTCTTAAGGATGCTTGACTTAGTAGAACATGAAGTTGATTAAGTGTATCAAGTAAGCTTGCTTAACAATGAAATCATTATAGCTCCAGGTCGTTTCTACATGTATAAAAGATGGATATGGAATAAACTCGGGGATTCAGTATTCTCTGTTGCTCTCCCAATGCTTTCTGTCTCTCTCTTTTTTTACTTAATCCTCACTCCCCCTTTCAGGACTGTTCGACTGGCCGGCAGGTTCCAGCAGAGCAACAAGACTTTTTATTTTAAAAAAAGGATTTCACACAGATGGAGTTGGCAGCCTGCTGGAGTGGAAACGGGGGCGGGAGGTGGGGGATCAGGACACTACTTAACTGGGCTGCCCTTGTCTCGTACAGTTTACAACTCCTGGATGAAAGAGCATGGAGGATCGATCGTCAATATCGTTGTTCTTAGTAAATATGGATTTCCCATGGCTGTGTAAGAATTTTTTTTTAAAGATCATTTTATTGGGGGCTCTTACAGCTCTTATAACAACCCATATATCCTTTGTCAAGCATATTTGTACATATGTTGCCATCATTATTTTCTAAACATTTACTTTCTATTTGAGCCCTTGGTATCAGCTCCTCTTTTTTCCTTCCCTCACCCCCTCTTCCCACCCTCATGACCCCATAATAATTATCATGATTTTCAGACCTTATACCGACCAGTGTCTCCCTTCACCCACCTTTCTGTTGTTCATTTCCTTGGGGGTGGTATGCGTCCATCATTGCAATCAGTTCTCCCTTCCTCTCTCCTCCCCCAACCTTCACCCTACCCTCCTGGTATCGCTACTCCCGTTTCTCTTCCTGAGGGCTTTATCTGACCTGGATTCTGTGTGTTGTGAGCTATTATGTGTACCATTGTACATGCTCTGATCTAACCAGAACTGAAAGGCAGGATTGGGGTCATGATAGTGGCAGGGAGGTGAGGAAGCTTCAAAGAGAAATATTGTGTGTTTCATCGGTGCTATGGCTGTGTAAGCATTTTTATGTATTTCTCCCTCTGTTGGGGAGTTTTGCTTTCTGAATGTGGGGAATTGGGGCAGGGAAAATTTCCTGAATCGAACTCAATTTACCGTTAGTGAAGTCTGATCTCCGTAATTAGCATTTCCCTGTATTTGTACTTTAAAAATACATTCCCATTCTTAAGGATGCCAGAAATGCCCAAGATACCCAGTTAAATAATTTTCTAGATGTCCCAAGAACTTTGTGAGTGATGCTTATACTTATACTAAATGATTCTGGAATGCAAAGTTTTGTTTATCAGACTTACCTGGGTACCCTGTGTTTTTCTCTGATGATCCTAATCCAGAGGTTAATCAACTGGGCATCAGTGTTTGGGAAGAGCCTTTTCTTTAAAGTGTGGAGGTGAAGTTTGTCTGTGTGTTAATTTAGATTTTCATAGCCTGAGTATACCTTTGCAACTGTAGGCGGGGCTGCTCAGCAGTTACTACTAATGAGTCTGAAAAATATTCCCCAAAGTTTCTAATTCTGATAAGCAGAGAGTACTCCCTCTAAGCAAATCCCACCAGCCTACCCACTGTGTTTATTTTTCATTACTTGGTCAGTTGGCTAGAAATAATAAAATCTGAACACACGTAAGCAAAAATCTAGGGCAGAGACACTCAAAGTGTGGTGTCTGGACCAGTAGTGTTGTAATCACTTGGGAACTTAGTTGTTAGAAGTGCAAATTCACAACCCCCACTCCAGACTGACAGCATCAGAAACGCTGGGGATGGGGTCCAACAAGCTGTGTGTGTGAGCCCTGCAAGTAATACCGGGGCACCTGGAACCACCACCACACAGGAACTTGCTAGGTTCAGGCATGATGTTGGCAGGGGTCTGCCTCTTCCCTTGCCTTGGCTTGCCATGCAGTCACCTTCCTTGCTGTTTGTCAAGGCCATCCGTTTCCGCTATTTCTGTTATGGCGCTAGGTCACGAGGACGCTTGGTTTGGCTTGAATATTGGAAGACCTAGTTCTTTACCCATTGTTTAGGCAAAGATCAACAAGACAGAGGTTTATAAGAATGTTCTTGTAGGGCTTTGATGCAGTTGTCAACTTAGGCCATTGAAAGAAATATTCATTGGCATTTGATTTATCCAATATTTATGTTTTATTTTTTTTTTTTTAGGCACAGTGGAGCTGCAAGAGCAGGTGTTCATAACCTCACCAAAACCTTAGCTTTGGAATGGGCCCACTCCGGAGTCAGGATCAACTGTGTGGCTCCTGTAGGTAAACCACTGATGTGAAACCATTTCACGAAAGCTGTTGACAAAATTGTGTTTTTTCTAAATCCATCTGTGTCATTGATAGAGGAATTTGTTATATGTACATATAATACTGAATATTTACTTTACAAAATAGATCCAATAGAAAGCCTAATTTATATTACAAACGTATGTGATTAACAACAAGATTGTTAAGAAGTTTAAAGTAAACCAGTGATTTGCAATCCTGGTTGCATCTTAAAATGATCTGCTAAATGTGAAAAAAAAATAGTATGGTATGAACCTTACCCCAACCTTTGAAGCCCAGACATCTTTATTTTCAAGATTTTCTGAGGCAAAGAAAATGCACAGGGAAATGCTCAGCTCACGTTGGTATTTCTTTGATATTATTAATCTTTTGCCACGAAAAAGAAAAACCTAAAAAGAGACTTTAGAGAAGAACTCCCAGGTGAGGACTTAATTAGTAGTTAAGAGAAAAATTCTCAGGAGTAGTAATTAAATGAGAAACAAAACAACAACAACTAAATACAAACAAAGTCAACTTCAAAGACCATGATTTTTGAGAAACAAGCTGTAACTTCCGCTTCTTTAAGCATTACAGGCCATGAACTTCAAAAGAGACATTAAACTAATTATCTCAGTCAATCTGCAAAGCTCAGCTTAAATTCTACTTCCTCTGTGGTGTTGTCTGGTTATTGGTGTGATAAGCGTGGGTTCTATTAAATTTTTGACCATGTTCAATTTTCCTAGGTTCCTACTCTGCACATCTACATTCTGATCCTTAAAGGATATTTGCAGCAGCCCTTCTCATTTCGAGTGGTGCCTTACCCCCCAACCCCCACCCCTGCCAATGAAGGTCCTGAAAGTGTGCCCCCTCCATGTCAAAGTGGAGGTCGGCTCTGCACTGAGGAGGGCTCTCTTCCCTAATCATATATATTTATTTTTTTTGTCATTTCTTTTTTTTTTTTTTTAATGGCTTTATTTTTTTTATTTTATTTTTTTAACATTTTATTAGGGGCTCATACAACTGTTATCCCAATCCATACACACATCAATTGTGTAAA